GATCAGCTGCTTCCTGCACATCTCCTACCGGGGATGTGCCCGCAACCCAGGCACATGCCCTTGACCGGAATCGAACCCGGGACCCTTCAGTCCGCAGGCTGACGCTCTATCCACTGAGCCAAACCGATTTCGGCAGTTTTTCTACTACCTCAGTTGGCTTGCTCATGCTTCTATAGTCAGAAGCTAGGTCTGCTAGGGGCTGTTTTGTCCCAGATGTCTTCACTTACATGTTTCAAATAACAGGTATGAATGGGCCACATGTCTTGAGTGTGTGGAAAGATAGACTAGTATCCAAAATCATCAAAAGAGAACAAGCCCAAATATTTCAGTGGTTTTCTTTCTTTTTTTTCTTTTCTGTGTGTGTGTGTGTATGTGTGTGTGTGTGTCTAATAAGGAGCATTTTATTCAATGCCAAAAAGTTCTAAAGCTCTAACCGTCACCAGTTTCCCAAACTCCCTCTTTCTTCTTTTTCATTTAATTCATTGGGGTGACATCCTATATAATAAAACCCTAATATGCAAATTGACCAAACGGCGAAATGACCGGAGGAATGACAGATCACTATGATGTGCACTGACCAGCAGGTGGCAGACACTCAGTGCAGGAGCTGCCCCCCTGTTGGTCAGTGTGCTCCCACAGGGGGAGTGCCGCTCAGCCAGAAGCCAAACTCACAGCTGGCTAGCACAGCAGCAGTGGCAGCAGCCTCTCCCACCTCCACAGCAGCGCTAAGGAGCAGCGAGCATGTGAGTGGTAAGGAGTGAGGGGTCTTGGACTGCAAAAGGGAGCAGGCCAGGCTGAGGAAACCACCCCCAGTGCACGAATTTTGTGCACCAAGCCTCTAGCTGATTAATAAAATTATATAGATTTCACGTGAACAATTATATAATACTACTAGTTGCCCGGTGCATGGAATCCATGCACGGGGGGGATGGGGGGGTGTCCTCAGCCCGGCCTGCACCCTCTCAAATCTAGGACCCCTCGGGAGATGTCTGACTGCCAGTTTAGGCCCAATCTCTATGGGATCAGGCCTAAATAGGCAGTCGGACATCCCTCTCGCAATATGGGACCGCTGGCTCCTAACCGCTCACCTGCCTGCCTGCCTGATTGCCCCTAACCACTCTGCCTACTGGCCTGCTCGCCCCAACTGTCCTCCCCTTGCCAGCCTGATCGCCCCCAACTGGCCCCTCTGCCAGCCTGCTTGCCACCAATTGCCCCCCTTGCCAGCCTGATCGCCCCCAACTGCCCCCCACTGCTGGCATGCTCACGCCCCAACTGACCCCCTGCCGGCCTGCTTGCCCCCAACTCTCTCCCCTCCTGGCCTGATTGCCCCTAACCGCCTCTGCCTCAGCCCCGCCACCATGGCTTTTTCCAGAAAGACGTCCAGAAGGTCTCCCAGAAGGTCTCCTAGTCTAATTAGCATATTACCCTTTTATTAGTATAGATAGAGGCCTGGTGCACAGGTGGGGGCTGGCTCGTCTGCCCTGAAGGGGGTCCCAGATCAGGGTGGGGGTCTACACTGGGGGTGATGCTGGCCTGGGTGAGAGGCTGAGGGCCATTTTCAGGCCTGTCACTCTCCCATCGGGGTGAGGGTCCCTGCTGGGGGGCGTGGCTGGCCTGGGCAAGGGCCTGATGGCTGTTTGCAGGCTGGCCATGCCCTCATTGGGGTGGAGGGTCCCTGCTGGGGGGCGGGGCTGGCCTGGGTGAGAGGCTGAGGGCCATTTGGAGGCGGTTTGAAGGCCAGCCAAGACCCCAGCTTTGTCAAGAAGGATATCTGAAAGGTCTCCAGAAGGTCTCCCGGTCTAATTAGCATATTACTCTTTTTATAGTATAAATTTTGGAATGGTTGTTCATTTTCATCTAACTGGACTTCTGTTACATCATGGAATTGTCATAAATGATCCTCGTATTGCTGAACACAATGAACAATTCTCTTTTTAAAAAATTAAATAAATTATTTTAAAATTAAAAACCATGACCTCTTGGTTCATTGGTCAATGTTCAACTACTGAGCCATGCCAGATGGACTCCAATAAATTATTTTTAAAAATCTGTTAGAATTAATGAAAAAGTTGAGTAAAGATGTAGGATACAAAATCAATAGATAAATATCTGTTGAATCAATACACTAAATAATAAACTGTCAGAAGAGAAATTAAGAAAACAATTCCATTTCCAATTGCATCAAAAACAATAAAATACCTGAAACTAAACTATAAGACATTGATAAAAATATATTGATAAAGACACAGATAAATGGAAAGATATTTTGTGCTCATAGATTGGAAAAATTAATGTTGTTAATGCCCATACTACTCTTAAAGAGAAGACCACAAGCCCAAAGTGGCAACACTCGAGCTAAAAACCAATGATGCTAAATCTAGATTTTATACTGGACTTAATGGAAGCTTCCACCTCTCCAGAAGCTTAATTTTAATCAACCAGCCTTGAATTTTCAGGTCAAACATCAGTAAGGTAATCTGTCATGTGGGCCCTCCCCATCCCCCACAGAAAGAAGAGGGAATCTGTCTGATAGAAATCCTTCCCATCCTCTTCCCCCAAAGAAAAGATGTCATGGCACCCAAATAATCCTTTTTTTCCTATTGTTAATAGCACTTTGTCCCTCCCTCTTTCCTATAAAATGTTCTATTTCGTATATCCCCTCAGAGCTCCCTTTTAGTTGCCAGATAGGATGCGACCTGATTCATGAATCATTTCATAAAGCCAATTAGGTCTTCAAATTTACATGGTGGAAGTTTGTTTTTTAACATACCCAAAGTGCTAAACAAATTTTAATTCAATATTTATCAAAATTCTAATGACATTTTTTCACAAAAATAGAACAAACCCAAAATTTGTGTGGAACCACATAAGAACCTCAATAAGCAGAGAAATTCTGAGAAAGAAAAAAAAGCTGGAGGTAACACATTCCCTGATTTAAACAATATTATAGTAATTAAAGCAGTATGGTACTGGCATAAAAACAGACACAAAGATCAACGGAAAAGAATAGAGAGCCAAGAAATAAACCCACACCCATAAGGTCCTTAATTTAGGAGAAAGGAACCAAGAATGCTAAATGAGGAAAGGACAGTATCTCCAATAAACTGTGCTGGGAAAACTGGAGAACCACAGGCAAAAGAATGAAACTGGGTCACTATTGTAAGGGTTCAGAATGAGTCACCTGAAAACGTGTACTTGCATCATTTTTTAGCTGAAGGCAAGTGAGACCCTGGGAGTCCAAGAGAAACTTTTAGCTCTCCCTTAAAGAATTTAAATTTGGGGTCTTTCCCATAATAAGAGTTATCATCAGAGAGAACATTTACGACCTATCTATAGGGCAGGGCAAATTTCTAATTACTGAACATCTGCTCTTCTCATTGTCCTGCAATGTCCTTCCTCCCTTCTGAAGCCTCAGGAGCTGTACCTCAGCTTTAGCTCAGAATGTCACATATACACTACCTCACTGCTCTTCCTGTCTTGAACCTCTCACATATGTTTCCAAGTAGACTCCACTGGGAGATAGATATTTAATAATCCATTTTTGCCAGTAACTATGGTAGCTTTTCTGGATGCTCAGCTAAATAAGACAATGAAACCTGGAAATTAGGTATAAAATACAGTAGCATGTTTGACTAAGCTTTTGTTTCAAATACATCCATCACAAATGTATGCACACATGTTGCCTTCACCCATGAAGTTCCCCTTTTATTTTTAATTTAATTATTTTGCTTTGGAACTTAAAATATATGCAATTTGATTTTTAACTAGAGGCCCAATGCACAAAATTTGTGCAAGAGTAGGCCTTCCTTCCCTCGGGTGCCAGCACTGACTTCCCACTGGCACCCAGGACCCGGCTTTGCTCCAGCCACCTGCAGGCATCCAGAACCTGGGCTTCCCTCCAGCCCTGGCTTCGTCCAGAAGGACGTCCAGAATGACGTCCAGAATGATGTCCAGTCTAATTAGCATATTATGCTTTTATTATTATAGATATAATAACACATGGACACAGATAATAGTGAAGGCCTGGGGGGGAAACAGAAGAAGAGTGGAGGGGTTCAATGGGGCAACAAAGGAGGGTATCTGTAATACTTTCAACAATAAAGGTAAATTCTTTAAAAAGCAAACCCACAAAATCATAGCCTTCCTGCCCTTGGATCCCAATAACAGGCAGAGCCCTTCAACCCAAGTCCATTTTCTCTATCTATCTATCTATCTATCTATCTATCTATCTATCTATCTTACACACACACACACGTTCCAGTGTGGCTTTCAGGCATGCTGGATTATGAGTAATAATCTAACATTTTCATAGTTCCATGATGGTTAATGCAATTATAATAAAGACAACAAAAGTCCATCTACCCACAACACTGACTTTGATCTGAGCAACAAGTAGTAGAACACAGGCCAGTGCCCAGCCATTCCTATCCCGTTTCATCACTATCAATAGACAGAGACCTATAGGGAAGAATGCTAAAATCTACAGTATCAGGAAAAGCAGTTAAGGTACCGATGTACAAAAAATGAGGGATACGTGGTGAAAACTGAGGTTTCACATTTTTATGGAATAAAATATTATAATGTATTAAGTAGCCAAGTGAAGTTTTTCCTACATGAGTAATGCCACATAGTACTATTCTATCTACAAAACAAGAACAAAGTACATACAATGATGTACGTCATTTGAGAAGAAATTATTCTTTAGACATCAATATTTCCAGTGAAGTAAATGAAAACCTCCCAATATTTCTGATCAAGGTTTGAAAAAACTTTGTGAAGGTAAAAAAAAAAAAGCGGGGGGGGGGGGGACAAAGGAAAAACCTGCCTATATAACAGACAAAGCAGAAAGCTTAATGAAATGGTTGCTTAAATTGTACAGAGAAGTTGAAACAAACAAAGTAACTTCAAGGACAGACATAAAAGGAGCATTACTGAATTTTATTAAAGAATCACAATTTCTGGTTTTGAGTTTTGGAGCCCTAAAATCAAGGGCACTTTTTCTACCTCAGCATGATTGTCCCTTTTGTACCTGACATCCCTAAGAATCTTTTCAGGGCCCTCTTTATGTCCCTGTTCCTGAGACTGTAGATGAAGGGGTTCAGCATGGGTGTGACCACAGTGTACATCACTGAGGCTGCTGCACTTGAGTGTGAGCTTTGAGTAACAGCAGAGCTAAGATACACTCCTAGGCTAGTACCATAAAATAGGGAGACAACCCAGAGGTGAGACGCACACGTAGAAAATGCCTTATACTTCCCCTGAGATGATGAGATTCCTCTTATGGAGGACACTATCTTAGAGTAAGAGTAAAGGATACCAACAAGAGGACCACCACCCAGCAATACAACTCCAAAATACATCACCATGTTATTAAGAAAGGTGTCAGAACAGGCAAGTTGGACCATCTGTTTGATTTCACAAAAAAAGTGGGGGATTTCAAAGTCCATACAGAAGGACAGTTGCAACACTATTAAGGATTCTACCAAGGAGTTCAGGGCACTCATGATCCAGGACACCAGAACCAGCAGTCCACAGAGCCGGGGGTTCATGATGACCATATAGTGCAGGGGGTGACAGATGGCCACATACCTGTCATAGGCCATCACGGCTAGAAGGAAGTCATCCAGTCCTCCAAAGAATATGAAAAAATACATCTGTGTGATGCAGCCTGCATAGGTGATGACTTTGCTCTGTGTCTGGATGTTCCACAGCATCTTTGGGATGATGGTCGAGGTGACACTGATGTCTAACAAGGACAGGTTGG